TAAAACAAAGCTGTCAGAGAAATTAACATGAAAAATCAGATAAATACCAATATAATTGTAATAGGGGACCCTAATACCCCACTGTTACAAATGGACAGATTAGACAAAAAAATCAACAATGAAATATCTGAGTTTGAACAAACCTTTCCAACAAATGGACTTAATAGATGTCTAGAGAGTGTTTCAGTCTAAAGCAACAGAATACACATTTTTCTCAGCAGCACATGGGACTTTCTGTAAAATAGACCACATACTAGTCTATAAAGCATGCTCAAGTAGATGCAAAAGAATACAAATTGTCTCATATTATCAGATCACAGTGCAGTGAAACTAGAAATCAATGGCAAACCCTGTGCACCACCACACCTAGCTAAAAGAGGAGACTTTAAAATGCACTTCCCCTATAATCATTTCAGCTTGATATTGATTATACAGTGGAAATGATACTGTGGACATCTTGTGTTAAATAAATATAGTACTGAAATTCATTGCACCTATTTCTTCTCACTTTTCAATGTGGGTACTAAAAATTTTCAGTTATTTCATTTATTTTTTTCAGTACTGGGCATGCTAGGCAAACATTGTAGTACTGAGCTACACCCCCAGTCTAGAATGAATATATCTATCTATCTATCTGTCTATCTATCTATCTATCTATTCAGATAGGTATATATATGCATATATAAAATTTTATTTATTTGTTTGTTTTGCAGTACTAGGGATTGAACCCAGGGAGCACTGAACTACTTTCCCAGCCCTTTTTAAAATTTTTTATTTAGAGACAGGGTTTTACTAAATTGCCTAGGGTAGCCCAAATTTAATGATTCTCCTGTTTCAGCATCCCAAGTAGCTGAGATTACAGTTATGTACCACTGTACCTGGTCTAGACTGGATATTTTAATATGTGAATTCTAAGCTTGCCTGCATATAAAGAAGCATTTTCTCTGTTAACCACATCCCATTTGCAGACTATTTTGGATATTTTTTACTATACAGTGGAGGTACATCATCTGCATATGTAGCCTTGGTGAATTCTGTATTTACCTTGGATAGGAGGGAGAGATCGAGAGATAAGAGAGAGAAATAATTTAAGTATTTGGGGAGATTGCTCATATTGTGGTCTTTTACAAGGACATTAGACCCAAACTTCTACTGAAGATGTAATGCACTATTATTCTCAAATTTCCACAAGACCCCTTGACCCTGGCTTTGCCTCACTGCCGCTGTAAAGAGAGTTAGGATGCTGTATTTCACAGAAGCATCTTCCATCCCTCTACTTCAGCCCTTTCTCCCCCCATAAAATGGGCAAATCACCAAGATCTTTGCATTTATTTCTTTTTCATTAAAAAAATTTTTTTTTTAAAGACAGAGTCTCCCTCTGTAGTTCAGGCTGGCCTTGAACTCACCACGTTAACCTAATCAGGAGTGACAGGCCCAGGCTGGCCTCAAACTCAAGCTGAGATTACAGGCATGTGCACACTGCCTGGCCATCCTTGTGTTTAAAGCAACTTGGAGGGCTAGAGGTGTAGCTCAGTGGGATAGCACGGGGCTACCATGTGCAGGGCCCCTGGTTCAATACTCAATGCTGCAGAAACAAAACAAAAGCAGCTACTAACCTTGACTGGGTTCATTTGATTGCAAAACAAACTAACATGAAAAAAAAAGAGAATATTTCTGTGTACAGAACATTTCTCCTTCTAAGATTTGACCCAGATGTAAGAAGTTGGCTTGGTACCCTCTCTTTATCTAATCTCTTTATTTACTTACCTTGAACTTCCAGACACAGGAGCTCAAAGCAACCCCGGCCCATGGCCTCAGATAGAAAGAGATAGCAGTGAAGGTTCCCGGGTGAGGAACACAAATGGAAGGATGAACCTGACTGGCCATGAGGCTGAGTCTTGCTATACTCCCTTTAAAGTGTGCCAAGCACTGGCTATCCACTTCCCCCTGAGACCTGCCAGGTAAAATCTCCCTCATTATTGAGGTCAGACCTGAATAATCTCGTATAGGTTTTTCACTGAGATCTGGACTCCCTACTCATCTGAAGGCTCAACCAGGGAAAGATACACTTCCAAGCTTACTGGGTGCTTGTTGACAGGATTCAGTTTTCATGGATGTTGGACTGAGGGCTCAGATCAATGTGAATACCAGGACATGGGGATCACAGGCCATCTTGGAAACTGCCCTTCACAATGACTAACTGGCAACACAGCAGGAGAATCTGCTTGAGATTGAAGCCACTCTGTGCATGATCTTCTCTCTGTAGGCATCCATGCCCTAGTCTCCTCTTGTTGTATGAGATAGTCAAATTGAAGTAAGCCACACTGGTAGGCCATCATTTCATCTTAATGACCTCTTTGAAGCCCTATGCCCAAAGCCAGTCACATTCTGAGATACTACTGGTTAGGACTTCAACACAGAAATTTGACCTCATAAACTCTACAGACCTCTACAAACTCTGAGCTAATAAACCTTTCCTCCTTTAACTTATAGCTGTTGGGTATTTTGTTCCAGCAATGAGAAGGTAACTAAGGCATCCAACTACTCTGCGGAACTTTGTTAAGGTGCCTGGAGCAGACTGATACAGTCCTAGACCTGAATCTCATTGGCCTGGGTTAGTTCACCTTTACATCCCTCAGCCAATCACTGCGAGCCCTGAACCACAGGAAGGGACAGATGGGCGGGCCCCCCCAAAGGAAGAAGGGTGCTATTAAATGAAAAAAAAAACAGATGCTGGTACAAGTAACAGCAGGGTCGCATCTGTTTCTCTCCATTTCTTGGTTTTCTTTCTCTGCAGGGATGTGCTAGTGAACCTACTAACTACCTCTCAGCTTACAAATACAATTGCTAGTGAGTTTTAGCATTGGATTTTTAAAAATTGAAGTGAGTTTCACATAACAGAAAATTAGTCATTTTAATTTTGTTTTTATTTTTTGAAAAAAAAATATATTTTTTTATGGTCTCACTGTGTAGCCCAGGCTGGCCTTGTCTTGAATTCATGGAGATCCTCCTACTTCAACTTCTTGAGTGCTGGGATTACAGGCATGTGCCAGCTTTATGGGTTTTGGGGGGTTTTTTGGTACTGGGAATTGAACTCAGGACCTTGCGCTTGCCAGGCAGGCACAGAACTGCTGAGCTACATCCCCAGCCCTTTTATTTTATTTTATTTACACTGGTCAGATAATGGGTATTTTTTTTTTTTTTTTTTGGTACCAGGGATCAAACTCGGTTCCTTCTGCTTTTGAGGCAGGCGGCAGACCCACTGAGCCAAATCCCCGGCCCGAATGGGTATTTTTTGAGACAGGGTCTCACTATGTAGTTCAGGCTGGCCTTAAATGCACTATGTAGCCCATACTGGCCTTGAGCTTGTGGTGATCCTCTTGCCTCAGCCTCCCAAGTGCTGGGATGACAGGCGTGTGCCACCATGCCCAGTAGCCATTTTAAAGTGGACAACTGTATTTAGTATTTTCATAATACTGTGCAACTACCATTTATATAAAGTTCAAAATTTTTTTCATCACCCCCAAAAGAAACCAGTGCCTACCTATTCTTCAATTACCTACTGTTCTCCTCTCATCCTAGCTCCTGGAAAACCACTGATGTCCTTTGTGTCTCCATGGATTTATCTGTTCTGGATATTTAATACTCATGCAATCATGCGATGTGTGACTTTTTCGTGTCTGGTTTCTTTCTCTTAGCATAATGCTTTTAAGCTTCATCCACAGATAGCATCTATCAGACTTCATTCCTTTTGGGCCAGGGATTTAGCTCAGTGGTTCTGCTCCTGTCTGCCTGGCAAGCACAAGGTCCCAAGTTCCATCCCCAGTACCAAAAAAAAAAAAAGACTTCATTCCTTTTTATGGCCAAATGACCTTCCATTATATGTATGCACTAAAATTTACTTGTTTTCATATTCAATCTTATTTTTTAAATGTGGTAAAACACACACAACATAAAACATACCATCTTAATTCTTTTAAAGAGTGCAGCTCAGCAATGTTAAGTATATTTATCTTCTGTGCAACCCACCTCCAAAACCTCTTTATCATGAAAACAGAAACCTTGTACCTGCTTGACACTGATTCTTCATCCTTTTCTTCCACAACCCCTGACAACCACCATTTTATTTTCTGTTTCTGTGGATTTGTCTATTCTGGGTACTTTATATAAGGAGAGGCCAACAGCACGTTATGACTGGTTTATTTCACTTCCTTTTAAACTGTGGATAATATTTGAATAAATACATAATCACATTTTGTTTATCCATCCATCAATGATGGACGTGACCATGGATGTCTCTCTACCTCTCTTGTGAATAATGATGCAATGAACATGGAAGTACAAATATTTCTTTTCTCCTTTTTTGTGGTACTGAGGACTGAACCCAGGGGTGCCCTACCCCTGAGCTACATCTCTAGCCCTTTTTATTTTGAGACAAGATCTTGCTAAATTGCCCAGGCTGGCCACAAACTCTTGATCCTCCAACATCATCCTCCTGAGTAACTGGGATTACAGGCATGCACCACTGCTGAAAATGCAAATATTTCTTTGAGCCCTGCTTTCAATTCTTTTGGACACAAACCCAGAGTGGGATTGCTGGATCATAGAGTAATTCTGTTTTTAATGTTCTGTAGAACTAGAATTTGCTTGTCTTTAAAATTAATTTCCTGGCTAACTCATTTCAAGAAATATTTCATGCAGAAAATGCCAGTGAGAATGTAAAGCATGTTTCCAAAGACTCTGAAATACTCAAAGAGAAAAGACAGAAATCTCAATATAAAAAAATTCCCGTGAAATAGAATCTCAGAGATCAGTTAGAGGTTAATTTCCAGAACAATGTTTCGGTTCAGAGGCTGGCGAACAGCCAGTTCTTCTGTTCCCATCCCAGGAGTCACCACTCCCAAGTCACTGGTATAACTGCGATGGCAATTTCTGAACCCAAGCTATGGCCACAGGATGAAGCTTTATTTTTGTCAAGTCCTCCCTTACTAAACACTTACCCTGGTGAAATCGCAATGAGTAAAACTGGAATGAAGTCATTGCTTCAAAATCCATCAGTGGATTTCCGGCCCTCACTCAGCAAACAAAAGCAATCCGTGGTTTTACTGGCTCATTCATTCATTCATTCATTCATGTCTACTTGCAACCAGTGTCCACTGGAGGTCCCAGCCTAGACATACACAGGACAAACGACAATTCAGGAAGGCACACAGACATGCATGTTAATACATGAGACATTTCTTTCTTTTCTTTATTGCTTTCCCTACCTACTTTAATATATGCTACAGTTTGGATCCTGAATATTTCTCCAAGGCCCATGTGTTTAGATTCCAGTACATGGTGCTACATGCAGCATTTGAACTTTAAGAGGTGGGGCCTAGCGGAAGGTTTTAGGTCACTGGGGGCTGTGACCTTGAATAGGATTGTGGGTGCCTGGCCATTTCATCTTTTCACTTCCCTGTCATGAAGTGAAGAGCTTTATTCCACTACATGCTTCTTGCCATGATGTAATCTTTGCAACAAAGCTCTAAAGCAATAGGGCCACTCGATCATGGACAGAAACCAAACCAAATAAAAACACATTTATTGGATTAATCCAAAGTAAACCTTTTCTCTTTGTAAGTTGATTGTCTCAGGTATTTGTTACAATAACAGAAAGCTGACTAACAGAATACATGAACGTTGTTCTGATTGGTCAGCAAAAATTGAGTATTTGGGACTAGAGATTTAGCTCAGTGGTTCTGCTGCCTGCCTCACAAGTGCAAGGTCCTGAGTTCCATCCCTGGTACCACAAAAAAAAACAAAAACAAACAAAAAAAATTGAGTATTTGCTATATGCCAAGAGCTCCTAGGGGTGGAACTTTTGCTGGAGTTTCAGGGTACTTCTTGGCTTCTGGATGAAGATTAGACTTTCTGTAGACATCTGCAGGAACATCTGGCTGCTCTAGGAAATGGTGCCTTTTGTTGGATGTCCTGCTCTGTTCTTGACCGCAAAGAGACCGTGAACCACTCTGCCAAGAGCAGACCACTTAGTGTTTCTTCTTGGCTCGATTAAAGCCTTCTTTGGCAGCTTCCTGAACTGTCAAACAAGGGAGTAAATGAGAAGCAGCCTCAATGGCTAACAACAAATTCATGATTAAATAATTTGTGATATTTTCATATTAGGCAATTACTTTATTTATTTTGTTTTTTTTGAGACTCATGGCATGCCTCCTACCTCAGTCTCCAAAGCTCTGGGATTATAGGTGTGTGCCAGTATGCCTGGCTGGCAACTGTTTTAAAATACACGTTTTTGAAATATAATTAACTGTATGTATTATTTTCTGGAATATAACACATACCAGAGATAATCACCTTATGAAGAGAAAAGGTTTGTTTTGGCTCACAGTTTCGGAGGTTCCAGTCTCTGAGGCATTGGCCCTATTGCCTTGGGCCTCTGAGAGGCAGTGAGCCCCAGGTGGAGAAAACCAGCAGCCCCCGGCCAGGAAGTGAAAGCGTAAGGGGAGGCACCCATCCTGAAATCTCCTTTAAGGCACACCCCTCTGTGAGACCTAAGACTTTCACCAGGCCCCACCTTCTGGGCACTGCCCACTTCCCCTGGCACCACAACCTACTTAACCCAGAGGCCTTTGGGGCCCACTTATCTAAACCATAGCAATTCACATATTAGAAAGAGTTCACACAGAATACTCAAGGAGATAATGCGGAAATAAGTGTGTTTTTTATTTGGTTTGTATATGGATGTGTATTATAAAAAGAATGAAAATCAAACTTTCTGCAAATAGAAATAAAAACCAAAAAGCAAGGGCTGGGGTTGTTGCTCAGAGCTACAGCATTTACCTAGCACACATAAGGCCCTGAGTCTGATCCCCAGTACCTCAAGAAGAGAAGGGGAAGCGGGAGGAGAAGAGAGAGGGGGTGGAGAGGGGAGGGGTAGAAGAAAGAGGAAGAGGGGGAGAAAGAGGAGGAGGAGAGAAATCTTTGGGCTACAGAGAAAGTGTCATAGGACCAGGTGTAGTCCCTTGTAATCCCAGCTGCTTGGGATTGCAAATTTGAGGCCAGCCTGACCCTGTCTCAAAATAAAAAGGGCCGGGGATATAGCTCAGTGTTTCAGGGGTCAATCCCCAGTAGTACAGGGGGCTGGGCCCCATCAGGGCTGTGCTCCTTCTGGAGGCTCTAGGGGAGAATCCATTTCCAGTCTGCTCAGCCTTATTTCTACCATCACTTGACCTTATAGAAATGCTCATTCCAGCAAAACTCATCTGCTCCCTGGTCCATATCCAACACACCCGAGAGTGTCACTCTTGGTCATCAGAGAAGCTGACGACAAGGTGGGATTCGATGTGCAAGGAATTTGTTAGGAGAAATGGCTGTGGGGGAAAGTGGAAGGGAAAGGGGAGGTTGGGAGAGCCGCTGAGCTGGTTCAGGGCACAAGGAAGGAGATGCCTGAGCCCTAGGGTAGCCCCAGGGAATGCTGGCCAGCCTGTCTTACAGAGCCACACCTGCCTCCCCTTCCCTGACCAGTTGAGTCACAGGCTGCCAATGCATGGCTTTGGCCTAAAAGCAAAGCCCAGCAGCCCCAGCCAGGTGGTCAGAGATCTGAGTAGCACATTCCCATGGTTGCCAATCCAGGCTTTACGGTAATTTGCCTTTAGGATGAAGTGAGATGCTGCATGTCAGCGCCAGGCACCATGTAGTGGGAAAGATCAGAAAATTGGAGCACACTGACTCACACACCCACCTCTGGATCAGCCTGCCATCTCCTTATCTTTCTCTGTCCCTGTTAGCCCTGGGCTGTTCTCTCCAGGAAGCAAGGATTAGAACAAACCAAGTCACATTTATGGACCACATGCAGCGTGCTGGGAGAAAAAAATGCACGGAGAGTGACACAGGAGAAGTCTGTAGGAGCCTAATAAGAGCCTGGACTTAATCCAGAGGCGACAGGGTGCCACAGAGTACTTTAGAGTAGGATGAGCAGGGAGTGATTCCACCTGATTTATATCTGGGCAAATTCACAGTGCACTGGAGGATGGGCTGGAAGGGAGGAAGAGTGGAGACAGTGGCCAGGAAGAATGATACCTAGGGAGGGACAGTGGCAGAGGACAGAAGTAGACCCATTGGAGGACATTAAGGAGGTAGAATTTATGGGCCTGGTGAACAACTGCCTGGTGGGAAGTGCAGGGACAAGAATGGTAGCAGGATGCTGGAGATTTAGCTCAGTGGTGCTGCCTCGTGCCTCACAAGTGCAAGGTCCTGAGTTCAATCCCTGGTACCAAAAAAAAAGAATGGTAGCAGGAGCAGAAGTATCTGGAGCTTTTCTTCTACCTTTCCCAAGGGGTTTCATGTCCATCACTTCTCACGAGTTCACACAAAGAGTTCGGGGTGGGATCCAAGCTGGTTGCTCTGTGGTGCTGACCCACACTCTGGCCTCTCCTGGGTGCTGACCGCAGTCTGTCACTCTGAATTTACTGTGCCTCGTCTGAGGTCTGCCCACTGCCAGACCACATGCTCTATGAGGGCAGGGGCTGTTTCTCCTTTTGCTTTCAGGGTTCTGAAAATGCATTTATGGAATGAATGAAGTCAAATTGCGTTTACCGAATGAATGAAGGAAAGAACCAGTAATCCTATCAGTGCTTCCCAGGTGAGGGCATGGCTTCAGTCTGAACACTGACACGAATTAGCTGTGATTCATCCCTTAAAGTATATACTTTTTGCTTGTTTGTTTGTTTTAGGGACAAGATCTTGCTATGTAGTCCAGGCTGGCCTTAACTCTTCAAAGGCTATGAACTCACAGTGTAGCCTTCAAACCCCCAGTCCTCATGCCTCAGCCTTCTGAGCGCTGGGATTATAGATGTGCACTAGTATGGCATCCGTAAAGTATACATCTTTCAACATTTTTAGGTTTGGTAATACCCTTTCATCTAATACTTTAACACAAGCCCCATCCAGTAAATTTTCCTAAAACATGTCAAGTGTTTAAACATTTATGCATAAAGATGTTTATTTCAATATTTGTAAACAAAACAGTAAATCTCTAACATTAACAGATTTTTCTGAATAAATTATGGTGCATCTAGATGAGAATAAGCCATTAAAAATAATAATCTGGGGCTGGGGACTTATCACAGTGGCACCATCCCTGCCTCGAAAGCACAAGGTCCTGAGTTCGATCCCCAGTACCCAAAAATTTTTTTAAAATTTAAAATAATAATCTGTTTTTGATACAGATATTCTATGATGGTAGAATACCATGCACTTTTCTGGGCAAATAATCTAGATTCATAAACACTTTCAATTGGAAAGATACACCCTATGTTGTTCCTAATATTTATATCCAGGTAGTGGAATAAAAAGTTTTTATTTACTTAGGATTTTTTTCCTCTGAATTTTCTACAATAAGCTTGTGTTATTTTGTAATAAATGAAATTACTTTTTTTTCCAGATTTCATTCATTTTTATTTTTCTTCTGAAAAAACCCTTATGTTGTAGCTACTGCTGGAGCTTGAGTTCTCTGGACAGAGACTCTGGTGTGGGTTTTCACAAGATGGTCACTGAATTCCTGGTAGGGAGACTTGGTGAAGACAGTCTCTTTCCACAGGTCTGGGGTCAGGTAGCTGTAGGTCTTGGAGATGGCATCAAAGGTGGCCTTAGCAAAGTTGCCCAGAGTAGCAGTGCAGCCCCTAGCAGAGGTGTAGCAGTCATCAATACCAGCCATCAGCAGCAGCTTCTTGGGTACAGGGGCTGAGATGATGCCAGTGCCTCTGGGGGCAGGGATCAGACGCACCAACACAGAGCCACAGCGGCCTGTCACCTTGCAAGGGACAATGTGAGGCTTCCCAATCTTGTTCCCCCAGTAGCCTCTGCGGGAGAGCTTGGCCAGAATGATGGCTACTTCTTTGGAACACTTCACACCCAGACCAACGTGACCATTGTAGTCCCCAATGGTGACAAATGCCTTGAACCTGGTACGCTGGCCAGCACGAGTTTGCTTTTGCACCGGCATGATCTTCAGAACTTCATCCTTGAGGGATGTGCCCAGGAAAAAATCAATAATCTCAGACTCCTTGATGGGTAAGGAGAAGAGATAAATTTCCTCCAGGGACTTGATCTTCACGTCCTTGACCAGCCGGCCCAACTTGGTGACTGGAATCCACTCCTTGTCCTCCGCCTTACCGCCGCGACACCCGCGGCCTCGGCCCCTGTCGCGCCCACGCCACTGCCGAAGCCTCCGCGGAAGCCGCCGCGGCCTTCCACGCCTGGGCCCCCGGGGCCTCCGGGCCCTCCTGCTGCACCAGAGTCATCCGCCATTTGGTGTTTTCCCGAGGAAAAAGCGAAAATTGCTTTTTATTCTTTAGGGGGAGGTAGCAATGCCAAAGGCCGCCCTAGGGTCAGATTAGCTGAGCTGTACTAAAGAGTGCTCATAGTCAGCAAAAAGAGAGCAATCGGCAGCCACAGTGAGAGCCCTTTTGGGAAAGGCAGAGCCATTGTCGGCAAAAAAGAATAATCATGGTCACATAATCACAAGAATGTTGTGAGGATCAAGTGGGTGGGGAGGGACGAAATACGTGAGCAAATATATTAGTCTGCGGAGAAAATGCTTCACGTTCTTAGGTCTTCTCACCAGGCAGTTATCAAATGAAAACACATGTAACTGATGAAAATAAGGCTCTTTTTTAAAAATATAAAAGATGAAGTCCTCATCATCTCTGAACTGAAAGTGTGGAGGAAAGATTCATGTAATAAGCTTAAAATAGAAACAAAAAACCAAACACCCCCCCCCCCCGAAAAACACTAGCTCAATCATACCTCTAGAAACCATGATCCTGCACGCCGAGCTACTTACTGCTCGGGAGCACTCAGCTATAGCACACAGCGAGGTGCTTTGACCCGAGAGCGCAAGTCGCCCCCGTTACCGAGGTAGGACCAATCAGAGATCAGAGTGGGCCGGACCTCGCTGTTGATTGGAGGTACAGAGAGGGGCGGGGCGACGGCCCTGCGTGTGCGCGCGTGTGCGCTCGCGTGGCCTCTGAACCTGGGCCGCCTCCAGCCAGTTTGCGGACTGGGTCGAGTCTTGCTTTCGCTTGTGCGTGGCTTCCTCTGCAACTCGAGCCTAACTACCCGCTCTTTGTCGTCATGCCGGCGGACGTCAGCAAGTGGACCGGGCCCTTGAGCCTGCAGGAAGTGGAGGAGCAGCCCCAGCACCCACTGCGGGTCGCTTACGGCGGGGTGGAGGTGGACGAGCTGGGCAAAGTGCTGACGCCCACCCAGGTACCGCGGGGCTAGCCCGTGCGCTGGGAGGCCTGTATCGGGGAGCGGAGGGGCCCGCGGAGACGGGGCGGGAGGACTTTGCAGGCTGTCGGAGCCGCAGGCCTGGGAGCCACCCCGAGCGCCCAGGGAACGGGGCCAGTGTTGGCTGCGCTCGGGCCGCTGGAGACCTTGATCCATCTTCCTGGGACTTCAAGGGACAGGAGAAGCCGAGGCCCGGAAACACCCTTGATCCTGGGGGCACGGAATAAGCCGTGCGCTCCCGGATGGACCCCTGCGATCTCGGCAGTTCTGGCCCCAGTTTGGAGAGCAGGTGCCCCACCCGACAGCGACGCGTTATGTAACCGGTGGCCAGCGCCTCCCGGTGATTTCTCCTTTGTTTTAGCGGTCAAGAGCGTGCAGCCAGCCAAAGCGAGTGTGCCCTGCAGCTGGCTGGAAGGCTCCACGCAGCGGCCTTGTTTTACTCTTTTGCTTTGGGCCCCTGATGCCTCGGCCCGGGCTGCTCGAAGTGGAGAAACTAGATTTCTCCATACGGTTGCTAGTGGGTGGTTATGAAGCTCCTGGCAAGGTGTGAATAAATTACCCCGAGCTTTCACTGTTTAGGATGTTTACAGAGTTTATCGTTGTTGGTGTTTTGAATATGAAGTGTACATCTTGGAGACTGTTCCGTCCTCCCTTTTACCCAGCCTCCCTGCTCATTTTTTGCCCAGGCTTTCTCTTTTTTTTTTCCCCACTTTTAAATGTCTAGTTAATGCAGATTTATTTCATCCTAGCAGGGACCAAGTAACTTCAGGTCCAAATCCAGAGACCTTGTCGTCCCAGACCGAGTGTAAGTTGTGGTTGAGAGGAGAGCCCACCTTTCTGTTATTCACCTGCTAGGATACTAGCCCCTAGTGTTGTTGAGACTTAAGATAATTAATAGGTATATATAAAACTTTGCCTCCTGGCACCCACTGCAGGCAAAACCCACTAATTTTTATCAATATTGACTGTTTTACCTTTGAGGAGTCTGAGGTCAAAGAAATAATTGGTTTCTTCAGCATTTTTTGGCATTTTAACTCCAAACTGGCTCCTTTCTACAGGTTAAGAATAGACCCACCAGCATTTCCTGGGATGGTCTGGATCCAGGTAAACTCTACACCTTAGTCCTGACGGACCCGGATGCTCCCAGCAGGCAGTCTCCCAAATTCAGGCAAGTTGGGGAAAGATGGAGGGGATGAGTTGCCTGGTGTTAAGTCCCCTACCAGACAGAGAGAATTGGACCTGGTTTGGGATGTTTGTGCTTTGCTTAAGCTGAAATGTCCATTTCCTGTCTCTTTGCCCTTGAGCAGGAACCTGTAAACTACCAATAGCCATCTGTGGCTGTGTTTGTATGGCCCCCTGTGTTAAGAATGGATTTTACATTTTTCAGATGAAGAAGAAACTAAAAAAACAATAATATTTTGTAAGGGTCGGGGATGTAGCTCAGTGGCCCTGTGCCTGCCTGGCAAGTGGAAGGTCTTGAGTTCGATACCTGGTACTGGAAAAAAAAATTTTTTTTTTTTTTT